AAAGTGATTGAAAGGATGTAAACGCATTTACTTTAGGGAACAGGCTGGTGTACAATGCATCCATCTGGTCTTGCGGTGGTGACATCAACAGGTGAAGCTGAAATATATATCAAAACCAGACTAACTTGTCACTACTGACTTCTGCTGTGCAGCCAAACATTGTCCAAATCCACAGAACTTTTAAAAATGTGTTTGTAATCTTTAAGTTTCCAAAGATACCAAATATGTCAAGTTGAATTTTGGGGGACTTGCTTCAAAGATAGGATGCACTTGACTAATAAATCTAGTAAATTTCTGTTTGATTGAATGGGGCAGCCATAAAAACATGTTGAGCTTGAATATTTCACTGGGTGTAAACATCATAGAGATTCAATGAAGAGTTGGAGCAAGATGATACAGAATATACAGAATATGATACTGTCAGGGTGGAATAAGATGATTTTTCCCAACTTTATTAGGAGAAAAAAGGGGAAACTGTGTGTGAAGGGGTTTAATCGATGCCGAAGAAATGTACAAATAACTCCTGCACATTCATTCCCATTTGGTACACTTGACTAAATTTTTAATATGATGTTTTTAGCTCAAACAGCATGCAGTGTTTGTTGACCCTAATCCCACACAGTGCCAGCCTGTGGAATCTCACTCACCAGTTTTTCACGATTGAGAGCTCGAGGTGAACAGCATAAAGGACCCGATGGGTTTCTAAAGTTTGGTTTGGAAAGGCCTGTTTCTAATAGGTCTTCTTTTGACAGGAGAAATAGCGAGGAGCCTGACTAAATTTACCCAGTCTGGGTCCTGGCAAGACTTTTTTTTTCTTTTTTTTTCCTTTCATAAGAATCCCTGATGCAGAGCATGTGAGACATCTCAGACTGCAGCACTCAAATTGCGCAGCGTAGGACTGTGGGTGGGCCAGGTCCTTAGGCCAAGACAAAAACACACACAGATGCACAAAGATCTTCCATTATTTGAGAAGAGATTCTTATTGCAGATAAGCAAAAGTAGCCCCTGTCTTTTGGATCTCATCACGCGGCAGGCTTGTACTCCTTTGGCTTCCTGGGTGCTGTGCTACCTCAGTGACGATGACCGGCAGTGACATCAGAAGTACTAAACGTCGGAGCAGAGAGGATATGGCTCTGAATGGGTTGCAAAATCTGTATGCCTTCAGGTCCAAACCAAGCCGAGAACACATGTACAGTATGATTTTTTGTTTCCTAAAATGCAGCAGAGGATATGACCTTGCTAGAGAAAAACATAGGCAAACAGCTGTGGAGTACATTGATGATAATTGTGCTTATTGTTACAGAGCCATTATGCAAACTATTATGTAAAAACCCTCTGTTTTAGCAGAGGAAGGTTCTTCAGAAGGCACCCAACTTTCAGAATAGACGGGTCACCGCAGAAAACTGAATTGAGAGTTTTTAAATATCGCATTAAGACAGTTTTAAGTAAGAAACGAACAAAATTAGATATTCACTAAATAAATGAATCTGCGTAGCCTTGTTGCAGATTGAACATTCTCCAGATAAAACATTAGTTTTTAGAGTGAAACCACAGATTTTCAGCCCATATCCGACTGCAGAGTAGTAGGATGAATTCCTGCTATTGATGCTGTCCTTCCCTTGAATATCTCCAGGCTGTCTCTCAGCTCAGATACTCCTATCTGCTGCTTTGTCTGACAAGTGGGAGGCATGTAATTGCGCTGATACAATGGCTTTCAATGTATAGAGGTAAAGCGGGTAACATCTCACTCGCTGCTGATGGAGCGGCGGGAGAAGTGCAGACGTGGGATCACGCCGTGGATGCAGCAAAGCTTTTCTTTTTTTTCCACTGTTAAGTATATGATGATTATGGAGAAAATAGGACGGATGCAGCTGCCAACAGACGGTTCCTTTGTGAGTGTCACCCTACTTTTCAGTTCATTTTTAGTTTTAATGGTGTTCAGTGTACAAAATGTTAAAATCAGAATGCATGCATTGCGGCCTAGAGCACTTGGCTCAGTATCTTACAAGCTTATCAAACTACAGTGGGGAAATCTCGGGGATCCCATGGTAAAAAACAAACATTAAAAGAAAACCAATGTTAAAAAACAGCTCCCTACAAGTAAAAATTAATTCAGCGTCACTGTTGAAAGTTGTAACTGAGGGAAAACTGAAAAAAACCTGATGTATTTTCCCAAAAACTGGCACAATTGTCACAAGCAGAACTTCAACACTACCTGAGAGACACTGACAAGGTATTTGCCAGCAACAACTACAAACTCCAGCTTCAATAAATACCATCAGGTAGAATCAACATCTCAAACCGTCTCAGAAAAAGTCAAACATTGTAAGCTTGTTTTTTTTTTTTTTTACTGTCGGCCACTGCTGCATTCAAGGCAGCTGTCTGATGTGTCCACCCACTGCCTGTGACCTCAGTGTTCCCAGAATGTATCGAGTCTTTCTAGCTAATTAAACAACACACAATCTGAAATATGAAACACAGTGGGAGAGTACATTTGAAATGTAAACATCATTTTGAATAGATTTGAATAAAATCATTTATGTTTTTTTTTTTTTTTACATAATCAGTATCCACATTATCTTCTGTGTCTTTGTGCAACTTCCACTGAAATCTATCAAAGACCATTTAATTAAGCCAAAGTGTGTTGTGCATAAAGCTCAGTGTCTGTCGCTGTCGCATCTGCACATTGGTAGGGTTAATGTTTTTATTTGATTATGAACAAAGCCTACCTCATCCTGTGATCAAACAACAGGAAAATATAAAGGAAATAAATAATTAAACGTGCCGTGCCCTTGCTGAGATCACAGCTATGTCAACACCCTGTCTCAGTCTGCCAATGCAAATAAAGAACATTACAGATATGCGTCTTTATCTAAATGTTTTATTTGTTATTAGTTCACACCTGTGTGATTAGCACAGGGACTACTTTGTAAAAGCACATAAAGAACTGACTGAGAAAGGTGCTCAATGGCTTCATTAACACAAAAGCCTTGTTGAAAGTGGCTAAAGAATATTTTTCAACAAGGCGCCACTGAGAGAATACAGTATGTTTACTCTGAAAGAGAAAGAGGCATTAGGTCGGGGAGTTATTTGAAGAGTGACATTGCAAAATCTTTTTATATACACAATGCTTGCTCTTAAACATAATCATTGCCATTATAGCGACACACACTGCTTAAATATTGATCTTATTTTGTCCAAATGCTTGAATCTGCTTGCAAAACCATACTTCTAGATGATATCAGGTTGTGTAAATGGGATATTGAGTGACATGTCAAACTAACTTTCTCATTCTGCAGTAACTCTCCATTATAGTCCCTTGAGTATTTCCAAGGTTGTAATTTTTCACTTTGTATTCGCTTTTGCTTCCTCAATCCTCCGACCACCTCCTTTGAGAAGCTGTATCTGGGTTGGGTCACCAGTGAGGTCAAGCTCAGACTTCCACCACACTATGATATTCCAGATGGGAGCTAAATTGACACTAATCCTGTGACAAACCCACTTGGCTCTAAGCAGCAGACACACAAAACCACAGTGTGAGGGAGACATTCCCAGCCCATCTGAAAGTGATCAACTAGAAAGCTGCAAAGAGTTACAACAGAGGTATGAATCAGTTTCTAGTAGTTTTGATATATCCAACTGTTTGGCCTTTTAACTTATCACAGAAGCATGAGCTAGAATAATAATGATTACACTTGATCAGTCCCTGCACCTCAGGGCGTTCAGAGGTCAGAGTGAGCTACGACTCAGTTGGAACTGGTAGCACTCCAGTGTCATGTTCAAGGACATAGACCAGCTTGAACCCCAGTTCACTGCATGATGGCAGGCAATGTGCCAGTATACCAATCCCCCACAAGACTTAACTAAACTACTCGACTTTCTGCAAAAGAAACATCCTCATTGACTCTCTCATAGGACTAATTCTATTGCATTACATGCTATGTGAATGGCATAAGAATATTTTTGCCTCCTTTTCTCATTAATTTGTGTTTTGGATGCATTTGCAGTAGATGTCAATTAAACAGCATTATATTCATCCTTTGGGCTTGGTACTGCATCCAGGCTATTTAAAGACAATCAATGCATGTGTTTTTTTTCCTTGGTATTTTAAGAACCTCCAAGAGGAGGAGCTCTGTGTAACTGCTACAGAGCTCCCTCAGCTGTATAGAAAGTAACCACATGTTGGCAGGGAAATACCGGAAGCTAAGCGGTTTTCCTTTCTAAATAATGTTTTTTTCTGGTTGAAAAAGATGAAATAGTTAAGAGAATTCTGAGTGGACTTTTTTACACTTGTTAAATATATTGTTAAAATGTATATGTAGAAGAGTGCAAATAGTGTTTATATATGTTTCTATAATATCTTATATTAAGGGGAGTTGTGTGAAAGGAAGGGAGAGAAAAAGGTCAATAAATTCAGTTTGAAGCTCTTGCACATTTACCCCTTCCGGCTTTTATTCTGAAAGGAATCACCAGAACTCCCGCTGTGTACTCTTGCCGGCTTGTCGCTGCTTTCCTTCCCTGCCGTCCACCTCTACAGCATGCAAATTACGGTGCAACTCCAATATATCGCAGATTGGTTAACTACAGAGCGCGCGGCGCGGCGCGAGAGGAGGACACCGTGCGCGCTTCTTTGATTTAGAGTGGACTTTTAAAAGATGAGAGAATAGTCTCTTTTTAATCCAAACACTGGTCTATTGTGGCAGCTCGAACCTGCAACTTAATCATAATTAACTGTGAGTGGCTGTGGGAGGAGGGCGACTCTCATCAACATCCCGGGACCGGCAGCTCGCGAGCCCCTCGCGCAACGGAATAATTAGTAACCCTTGTGTGTGACAGCTGTGTAAGAATCAAGAAAGACAGTGGACCCTGAGAGGACAAGCGGGGACTGACGGACCCTGTGAAGTTTCCTCGTGTGTCGGTCTGTTTTTAAGCAGCCCGCTGGACCGGAGAGAAAGTGTTGTAGAGGTTGGCCCCTCTTCAATGCGTCGGTTCCCCGCATCCACTGATGGACTGAGAACGGAGAAATTTGGAATAGGCTCCCTATTTTTTCATCAGTTTTAGTCGGTAAGTCACGAAGCAGGGGCACTAATGACATTTGTTGTGTGTACGTCTGTAAAACGTTGCACTTTAGAATGAGCTTAATTACTTTCTTTATGGACCAGGTGCGTTGGAAGGTTTCACTGCTGTATTTGCAGAATGGGCTAGGTAGCAAGGAATCCAGGTGTCCATTATGGGCAGGTTCCAACTAGCGAAAGTATGTTATATAGCAGTTGACCCTCTCATATTATACCTTTTAAAAATAATAAAGAACGCTCCTGTAAAATGTACAGTATGTGGGCTGCATGGCTATTTATCACTTGCATGATGGTACAGAAAGTCCTATAATAAAAGTGCCTGGACTTGACAGAGAGGGACCAGTGAGTTTTCCTGAGGGGACTCCATTACCTCCAGCACACCTGGCTGTTTGCCACACGCAGTTACTGTATCCTACGGCAGTGTGCAGGCGTATGGTAATCCAGACCGATGATGTGCCTGTACAATGCTTTTTACTCCATACTGAAACCCCTAACATCTTGCTTTAAATTGCTTTGGTTTTTCTGTATAGCCGGAGAAGCAGACCTCTGCTTGGTGACAGATTCCACTGCCTAATGGATCCTCTTTTTCTGGCATTTGGCCATAGCTAAATATAGTTGTTCCGTCTGAATATTCATATTTACATGTTACTGGTCACAGGTGTGTTTTTAATAGGGACAGCATTACGACTTCTGATCAAACTCAGCCAATCAGAATGGAGGATATCTGATTTATCAGAAAGAAGATGTCCGTTTTATCAGAAGCATTAATTCTCTGCTACAGTTAATCTCATTTACGTCATTAACCACACATTTCTGGTTATACTGTGGATCAGGACTGATTAAATACATTTTTACTTCAATCAAGCTTCATTTAATCAGTTTTTACTTTATCTTACAGGACTGCCTTTTTCTCCATTTGAGGGTGAGGTCCTATTTAAGTACAAGTTAATGAAGGAAAGAAGTGTCTAATTAGCTTTAAATTGTGAATTGCATAATTGAGTTTGGATACCAATTTTGTGCTTGGATGAATCAATGGTTGATAATTTAATAGCATAGTTATAAGTGCTCCATACCATAAATGTATAGAGTGCATAAGCCTAATGTGCCTGAATAACTTGGGATTCATTATTGATTGATGGTTTTTAAAGAGGGGTGAACCTATGTGGGCACAATTTAACAAATTATGCAAAATGCAGGATGTGCTTTATGCTGCTTTGTTCATGTTCTGGCTTCCCCCCGACATTCTGTAGTTAACAAGAGGTCTCCACACAATTAATTGAATTTACATTGACAGATATCACCTCCTTCTCTTCAGCCTCAGGACCACTAGTTTAATACCAATAATCATCCAACCATAGCAAATTGTTGACAAAAATCACAGGTTGTGGATATTAGGTGATTGATAGATCTCTATTGAACAAATAGCTTGCATTGAGGGGAAACACAAATGTGTGTTTGAATAGGTTTTGTTTGTTGTAATGTGTGAAACAGCAAAAGGAAATTGGTGTGATCAGTGCGAGCAGTCTGCAGTTTTAGGACTATCGGCTCAGAGGTAGAGGCATCATGAAACTTTATTAAAGCGCACTACTTTCTTACAGAGGAAGCCTGCAGATATATTGAAGAGCCTTTGCTTCTCTAAGACATGGAGAAAGAAGGCAGTGCCAGCCCACAGAATATTGAATCAGTCAAAAAAAAAAGGAGCAAGGGGCAAGGGAGTTGAACTAGCTCTTGCCTCTTGAGTGGGCGGATGTCATAATTATCATTTCTCCAGGATTGTGGTGGAGGGCCGTGGGCACTGGCAGAATCTCTGCAGATATGTGGGTGTAGTGGTGGTGTCGACCCTGTAGGGCAAGCCACATCACTTCCTATACAGAGGAAAAAGGGACAAGTCCCACCATAATTGGTGCCTGGGAACACTGCAGGGCGCTCCGGGAAGTTGATGGACGGCCAGAGCCGAGTACGCGTACATAAACAAGGCCGAGGACGCGTGCACAAGGACAAAAGCACACATTTGTGCACATGCACGCTAAAGCAATAGAGTGCAGGGGGCTCTAATCTGCTATCCCATGTCAGGCTGAAATGGAACAACCTCTAGCTGGATGCAACAAGTCTCACTGTCTCGCATTCTCCATCTTAGTCTCCTTCTCATTCTCTGTCTCAGCCCCCGAGCAAAAGTAGCCTGACTTTTAAGTATTAGTGGATGCAACGTAACTGTTGGTTGGTGACCTTCAAGTAAATAGGGGGGGGGGGTGTCTCTCCCCTGCTGTTAGACCAGGTCTCTGGTATTTAGGTTTCATGTTTTGCTGTGAAGTAGTGAAAATTGGAGTAAATGAGCAGGTTGGACTCAGAACTCTCTGTAAAACACGTTCTATGTAATTGTCCGACAAGACACTCTTTATTATTAAAAGTAGCTCTTGTCTGTTTGTGCTTAGTCACTCCTTGTTGTATTGCTGTTGTGTGTTATCTCAAACAACTGGAAGAAAATAGCCTCTTTCAGTAAAAGCTCTTCTTGCTTTAAACCTCTCTGTCAAGAGACATATAGGAGGTGGGAGCTCCAGGCCAGTGGATCTCTTATTGGAGTCTGGCGAGTCGATAGAGTCCTCGCAGGGCTCCAGACCAAGTTTTTCCACTTACTTAAAAATTTTAGGAACCTCAGTCCAAATGTAAGAACAGCACTTTAAATCATTTTCAACACAACAGATTCATGATTTTTTTAAAAGTTGTTGCTGATCAATGTTTTAAACTGAGATTTTCCAAAAAAATACTGATGCACACAGCAACATGGTGTTGAAAACAGACTTTCATGACAGGTGCTGAGTCTGACATCTGTCTATCTATCCCTCTTGCTTCATGCTGTATGAATATTGAAAAAACCTGCTGTTTGGAAAGTAGCACATGAAATATGATGGGCTGTGGTGAGCACTCTGATGAAATGCTCAGTGAGCAGATTATTTAGGACAATAAACAGCCCTTTGTCTTTGTTTGAAATGCAACACTCCCTTCTGTTGCATCAACGTCACGTGCGATCCGTGCACGCTTCTTTCACCAGACCTGCGGTGCATGCTGTGTTGCCTGTAAATGCACATAATCCTCAGTTTCTATTATGGTTATACGCATTCTAAGGTGCCTGGCAGTAACCCATCCAAAAAACAAATAAGGAACTAAGTGTGTTTAGGCGTTCTTTTCATTTGACTTTGAAGCTTTTTTCACCCTCTGCAGGTTTAAACAGGAGCTTCAGAATGCTGTCCAGCTTCTTTAAGTGCCCGCTGTGGCACTCCTACTTAATTGGTCTTGAAAGGTCTTGTTCAGTAGGACAGTGCAGGTCAGCTCAAGTCTCTGTAGTTGTTAAGTCATCAGACACTCAATTAACTCGTCCATAGTACGTGATCCAAAAAAAGAAAATGAAGGGGCAGAAAACCATGATACCTTTAACTAAATCTGCATTAAAGTTGCCGTCCTCAGTGTCTGGACAAGACTATTATGTAAAAATATACCTGTTTTATCAGCCTAACTCCCAGAGTGGGACTGCAGTACTGTTGAAGCATCACCCCCACTAACCCAGACTCCCCAGGTTTGTCCTGAGGCTCAAAACTGTCTCCTCAACATCAGTTTGAGCTTTACACTGTGGATTTCACTCACTGATGGTCACATTTTGATGTTCATGAATATCATGCAGGTTTTATTTGTCCCTCACTCATTCTATTTTGAGTAAGTGTACAGTAATTTGCACACAAACTTGTACAGGCTTGATATTTATCAGTCTTTCCACCTTGTAACCAGCTCATCCAGTTGAGGGCCACAGAGTGAAGCTATGTTCTAGTTCTCTGGGAATGTTTTCTACCCATAATTCCAGATGCCCTGTCTCTGTGTATTGTTTAAGTCTGCTCTGTCTGATACTTGTTATTTCCAGTGGTCGTAGACTGGATTCCCTTCAGGCACTTAGCATCAGTCTGCTCAGTGTTGGATGGGTGGAGTTTAACTCTATGGGCTCTGCATTATAAAGCAACTTACACTGATCCCAGTGTGACACAGGAATGAATTATGGTCTGTCTAGTGAATAAACAGGGAGCGCTGAGAGAGAATCAGGATAGGGGGTATGAATGATCCAACCAGTGACTCTCTGTCAGAGGTAAAACTTGCTTGTGCACGCTTTCCAAACAAGAGTCTGTGACTTTGTGCTAATCTTCTATCCTGGTATTACTTTTTTCTTCGACACTTTTGATATGTTTTTGCTAGGTTAGCTGAAAGCTAATCCACAGGGCTTAAAGTTAGAGTACTATTGTTTTGTTTATTTATATATTTTTTTCCTTCCATTTTTCTCATGGACATGTATGGGCTCAACAAATATTTCAACTCTCTTCATATTTAAATGTACAGTTACTTAGCAGAGTAAGTGATGGCACTGTAACCACCAGTTAAATATAAAATATATAATACAATCACATATGTCATTCACAATTTCAAACACATATATTTTATAATAGACTTCAGCCTAATTGTCACTTTAACGGATAGCATTCAGCTGTTACTTATGACTGCATCCACTAGCAGTTGTGATCATAAAAATAGCTAATGACTTTGTATTTGTTTGTCTAATTAGTAACCTCAGCAGGGTTCTGCCGGGGAACTGTGAGCATACAGTACAGTGCAATCCAAATCAGTTGTGCATCTGCCAAAAGGATGTCACAAAACAAAAGAAATACATGCATGGGACTATAATCTGTCATGAGTTTTACAGTGTCATTACATGCAATTATGTTTGTTTAATTACATAAGAATGTGATCATACTATGTACACTTTATGTTAATTTCTGTCAGTAAAACCAAACATGCATATCTACTTTACTTTTAGATAATCAAAATGATTTAACGTGAGACTGTTTTCTAGTTCTTGGCTCACATTTTTATAGAGCATGCATGTCATTTTGCTTTGAGACTCAAATGAAGGAAGTTTGTTGTTCACAAAATGACATGCATATTTGTGGATAT